TTTTCTGATTGGCTGAAGAAGGGTTGGTTAGTCAATAAGTATTTGTGTAACTGATCTTATCTGGACTATTCTGACAAATAGAAACTAGTGTTAATGTTTAAGACTAATATCAAAGTGTTTCACTATTCTGACAAATAGCAACTAGTGTTAATGTTTAAGACTAATAGCAAAATGTTTCACTATTCTGACAAATAGCAACTAGTGTTAATGTTTAAGACTAATAGCAAAATGTTTCACTATTCTGACAAATAGCAACTAGTGTTAATGTTTAAGACTAATAACAAAGTGTTTCACTATTCTGACTGTTTAAGACTAATATCAAAGTGTTTCACTATTCTGGTCAATAGCAACTACCGGTAGTGTTAATGTTTAAGACTAATAGCAAAGTGTTTCACTACATTATTGATATTTTTGAAGTAGTCTTGTTGTAATTGTGAATAATATTCACTATCTTGAAACTAAAATAAAACATCACATACAAATTTGCATAAAACATTCAATGTGGCATGTTCCAGGCATATGCACTGTGTTATGTTGCTATATTGTTTTAAAATAATGTTTTTTTGAGAAATATTTTAGTCCTGTGTGTTACCTTTATTGATGTCTATATTATTAAATGCATGTATGATATAATCACTGCTGTTGGAATTCCTTACATGCAGATTAAATGACTTTGATTGTAATATTGAAATTAACTACTTTGTTTTTAATCTAGAATCAAATCTTTATCAAAATGTTGGTTTCTATGTAGCTTGTTGTACTGTGTGCTAGTGATATGTTAGTGAACTATTATTTTTGTTTATTGTATGTGTACTTCATTAGTTTTATGGAATAATTGTCATGTACTTTACTTGTATTTGAAATGCTGTATTTTTCAATACCATTTTCATTGGTTGTTCCCAATGACTTAGATGGACAGAGAATATTTGGTTAGCTGAATGAGTGGTATTTGGGAATATGGAGGGGTTAGATTGTGAGAAATTTGAGTTAACTATGTGTTAAGATGGATTTAATTTGGGTTTCTGTTTGACTGGTGTTCGGGTGGGTTTGAGTTTGTACATGTAGGTTAATAGGGGTAAACCATAAACTGCCCAAACATTATACAAATGTAACAGCAGATTTTAAGAAACTTTATATGTAATTATGCATTCTGTATATGGTAGAAGCATTTTTAATTTGATAGTGAAACCTAATTTGCACATTATCAAACAGAGTTTGCTCCAATGAAGTGTGTTCTGGTGTAATTCAATGTATAAAATATTGCACCTTTGAAAACTATATACCCCCGGTATTAACAATAATATTATAATTCTTCTAAAAATTAAATAGACAACTATAATAAGTTTTAAAAGAATATTGTAGAAATTAATTTTTAAAGATCATTGTAAGGTTCTCAAGCATTTAATACAAATCTAAACAAATGTAATATTTCTATAGAATATATTTATACGTTTATAGAATAATTAATGAAATGTAAGAGAATTTCAAGACACCTTTTTAACTGATCTACATGTGTGCTTATAGGTATAGTTCAGTAGTGGGAGAATCAAGAAAAATACTGTATTTCAGACTGCACGGTTTTGATTTATTTCTGATGAAATATATTATAATGTATGCTTAGATTTTAGTTAGCAAGATTTTAAATTTTGCTGAGTGGAATGAAATGTATTTTGCTGAAAACCGTATCAGTTACTGCTACTGGGCTTTAAGTGCAATTCATAACAAGATGCATAACAGCAAATAGTAAATTGACTAATTGCACAAGCATTACATTTTTATAATATGTGTCTTGTATGGGTCTTCTTGTAGGATGTTAGTCCTTTATAATATGTGTCTTGTTTGGTCTTCTTGTAGGATGTTAGTCCTTTATAATATGTGTCTTGTTTGGGTCTTCTTGTAGGATGTTAGTCCTTTATAATATGTGTCTTGTTTGGTCTTCTTGTAGGATGTTAGTCCAAGATGGAAAAGAGAACATCAAGCACATTTGAGAAGCTTGGCAGAACAACATGGAGTGCAACTCCGAGATTTACAAGATAGAAACATGGATCTGGAACGGCAGAAAGAAGGTATGTAGTGTTTTCAAAATGGATCAACTTTTGTAAGATAGAAACATGGATCTGAAACGGCAGAAAGAAGGTATGTAGTGTTTTCAAAATAGATCAACTTTTTTCACTTTTCACAAAAAAACCTGCATAAATTTTGTGTTCTTAATATACAAACATTCTTTTAATTTGTAGAAATTAGACGCAGATTAGAAGAACTTGGGCGTCAAGAATTAAAGAGCAGTGATTCAACTATGGAGCGGATGATTGGTGCATTGAAGGACCAAGAAAGAAGAAATCAAAAAACATTAGAAGAACTTAAAAGACAATTGATTGCAATGCAACATAAGTATGTTAACCAACAAACATGTCACAATCAATCCTAGCTAGTACCAGTGTGTTTACCATAAATGTTCTAATTAAGACATCTTTTTTCGAACATTTCAATCTTACCTGATGCCTACTAAATTAGAGTATCGGTATAATTTAGGTTATGAATACAATGTCTTATTGTGACTAGCATGGATAGGTAAGCTCCATGTTGACAATACAGTTATCACCATAAAACATTTGCTTTCAATAAAACTTGCATTTCAGTTCCAGCATGTTTATTGCTGCACACTGATCAAGTGGTTTTCAACAGAGCTGCACACTGATCTAGTGGTTTGCAACAGAGCTGCACACTGATCTAGTGGTTTGCAACAGAGCTGCACACTGATCAAGTGGTTTGCAACAGAGCTGCACACTGATCT